TTTGTCTCTAATTTGCGAAAGAAATCGTGTTAGGACCGTCCCGCGGACCGATACAGAACCACGTTGGATGACTTCCGCGGTCCAGACAGCGGGGTCAGGACCGCGCGGTCAGGACAGATGCGAGTGGTTTGCGGGTCGGTCTTGGAGATGCCCTTAAAGCACCTTTTCGCAACAGAGAAATGTCATGGCACATATGGAACCAGAAAAATGGTTAATAAAACAAAGTTGGCAAAGGGACATTTAGAAAAATGAAGAGAAATAAAAAAGAGCAATCACTTCAATGTAGTGTTGTTTCATTGGTATCCATAGAAATAAGGATCTGGCTAATCGGACAAAGCGAGCAAAGAAACAATAAAGCAACAGAGACACTTAATGGTTAGGATCATTAGTCGTTAATCATAGAAAAATAATTACAGATACTTTGTACTACTAGTTAATTTGCACTCAACCTGAGAGGTAATTTGAAACCATATGATGCACTCAACCATATAATGTACTACTAGTGTGAAAAGGTTGCTAGGAACCATATGATGCACTCAACCTGAGAGGTAATTTGTTAGTATAACCATTGAAGCTTCAATGAAATGATGACTGGAATAGGAAATGCTCCCTCCGTAAACTAATATAAGAGTGTTTAGATCACTAAAATAGTGATCTAAACACTCTTATATTAGTTTACAGAGGGAGTACCAAGTTAGCATAAGACTCGTCCTAAACTACATGAGCTCCTCTGAGACTTAATACAAACTGAATCCAAATAACTAAAGCCAACTAATTTAAGGGCACAGTTGTACCTGGTTTACTTGGATTTATACATTACCATATACAATTGTTTATACATGGCTCACACTCTAAATTTGGCTCCAATTTCGTCCAATGTCCACAGGACCTGTAGGAATGCAACTGACAAAAGATAGAGCATTTGACTACGGACATACAACAACAGTGAAACATAAATATTTTAAAGCAGGCTCGTCGAACTCCCCAGATATTTTCTAAAAGCTACTTCCACTGTAAAGAAATATAAAGAGTGATCTAAACGCTCTTATATTTCTTTACAGAGGGAGTAGCTTTTATCTCATGTATGTCAACATTCACATGCCACCTTGTCGATGTTGTGTTCTTAATAGCCATAACACCTACAGGACTTCAGAGTTATTCTATTTAGGCAATGTGTTAAAGTACGATATGGAAACAAAATGTAAAGAAACATAACTGAATGTTTGTACCTGCACATTGATCTATCATTGTTCCAACAAACAGTATCACAACAAGTTCACTTTTAGATAGATTGTGTAGCGTGTCTGCATTCAACGGTCGTGCAAAATCTCCACAAAGTGTAACAGTTGCATCTTTTCTGTAGAATTCGCGGAGTTATTTTACATCACACAAATACTTCCGAAGTGCATGATATAGAGATTATGATAAGAATCTATGCTGTCCGTCCGTGATGAATATCTGACGCCTAGGCTCTCAAGCATTGGCAGTGGGAGGCAAAAGGTCTGTACGGCAGTAATTAGGCCAGTAACATCTGTAGATTTGAGGAAGCAATAATTGTTATGATTGATAACAGAGATACTGCGAAGAATACTAAATCTGTAAACAAACATCGATAAAAACTAACCTGAAATGAGCACACATTTGACCGGATACCTTTTTCAAGCTCTGAAAATGGGAGCGGATTATGACCAAGTAAAGGGAAACCTGACAGGAACCACATGGGTCGTATTAAGAGGAGAGAGCCTGCATCGATGATCTGCTGCTCTATATCGCTCCTTTGCTTTCAATATCAAGTAGCGCTCAATTTTGTACACCCTTCTCGAATCTTATATTTAAACCTGGCCAACTTATCCTTTGGGATGACTCCTGCTGTTGTTCCTCCCTACAAAAGAAGCTTACTCACATTTCAGTATTTCTGAGGCGAAATGTAGCTATTGTTTTTACCTTTCGGTCCACCATAACAAAGTTCAAGCCAGATAATGTAGGGAAATCTGCGCTCCAGTGCACCCATATCCTTTCGATGCGGACGATAAGCGTAAAGCCCTACGCGCCTTTGGCCAGATCTTTGAGCAGTGCACCTTCCATCAGTGTCACTGTCAGCCTATCTAGTCTGTATCAAGACAGAAGAAGAAATCCAACTCATTGTAAAATTTTCTGAGAGAGAAGGTAAAGAAGCAGAGAAGGAAGACGAAAAATAAGGAGCTGTGAATGCATTTAGTCTGCATCAAGATAATTGCGGCCAAAGAAGAAGAAATTCAGACAATTACTTCGACTCATCGTAAGATTGTCCGACGCAAAGAGGAAAGAACAGAGACGAAATAAAAATATGCTCTAATGCCTGATGAGCGGATAACGAAGAGTCATAAGCAATGGATTCAGATATAATATATGCTCTAATTCTCCAGAAATCGCCTGGGCCACATAATCAAGCTTGTTTATACTCAGGTGTCAAATCCCCAACAATAAGAACAGCAACGTCAGAACCAGTAGGACCAGAATATCGACTTCCATCAACACCTCCTTCATGTCCACAAAATAAAAGTAAAGCATGAGCAATCTAGACCCTTGTCACAGATGATTGATGCCATTTATTTAAATTTTTAAAGACTTCACATATCCTCCTTAGTTTCAGATTCTAATCACCCCTTTGAAATTTTTATTTGTACTTCATTATTCATCTTACGCACGATTAGAAGGATGGATGTTTGGTGAAGTAGGCAGATGACCCCTCTAAGTGACCTTTTTTTCTATTCTGATTCACGCATCTTAAATTTTAAAAACTTCACCTATTGTCCTTATCTTTCAGTGCCTTCTTCCATAGCACCACTTTATTTATTTGTCCTACAATAATTTCTTTTGTTCACCAACAACTCTATCGGAGACTGAATAACCTGAAACAAAAACGTCCACTAAACTATCAGCAGGGCTTCAGACTGGATCAACTAGAGATGAGAATTTCACCTGAAAATTGAACTGGGCGACACGGGCTGTAATCCTAGGGCAAATCATCAAACCCCTGATAAAGTGTGGCAAATCATCTAATCCCCTGGACAGCGGTACAACCCCTCACAGATCCTTCTAAAAAGCATGAATCGGCACGGGGAAGATCAATCAATCAACATTGCATCTCGCACAGACAAAACTCCACAAAAGACCATGGCGGAGGCTGAGAACTGGACCAGCCTACCAGGGGGTGACTGATGGAGGGGTAGGGAGGCCCGACACGGCCCCCAGGGTTGGTCCGCATCTCGATGACAACAACGCAGAAGCATCTTTTACCAGACCCTCTGGCCTTCATCGCTGGGAGAGGCAGACCATCAATGGCGTGCCAGCAGAGATCGAGAGGGAGGTATCCTCAATCAATTTCTGAACAGAGAGCTTGAAAGAAAGCTCAGAGAAATAATGTGTAACATTCAGCGAAATAAACAAACTCTCCTCATGAGTCGTCTGAAGAGCCAAGCATTAGATTTATTAATCATGCCAAGTTCCCATATCCTATATTCATCAACTATACCATATTATCATTATCATTACCACCAATCAAGAGCATATCATATGTAATTTGCCAATATTATTGGTAAACATGTCTAAAGTTAGTAATGATAAATAAAAATAATTGGTATTACCAAACTAAAAAGGAAAATGTTTATAATCAACCAGATGATTTGTCTCTCACGTAAACCGGCTCCTCCGATCGACACGTGCCCTCCGTGCGGCCCGCCCACCGCATCCCCCGGCCTTATCGTCTCCACCTATTCTCATTCATACGCGGGGCGTCTTCCTCTCAAGCATCTCTCTACCAGAGCCGGTCGTCGCCACTGACAGAGATTTGCTCCCCCCCCTCCTCCCGGTCGCGTTTGAGGGATGCTGCGAGCCCTGCCGCCCAAAGCCATCACGAGAGAGAGAAGTGATGGAGCTTTAGGGCCTGTTCGGTAGCTCGCCAGCTCCCAGCTTCCACGAATCCGCGAGGGAAGCTGGCCCGAACGGCCCAGCTCCAGGAAGCTGGCTTCCCAGATCGAAGCAACATCGACGTACAAAAACTTGGAGCCGCAGTTTTGTCGATCCCAGAAGCTGGATTCCTAGAGTTAGCGTTATTTACAATCGGATGCCACCGCGAAGTGCCTCACGTACCGGTTCGTTATGTTTCCCTCCGATCTGGGCCAAGCCCATCCTCTCTCGTCCCGTTTCACACCGATCCTACCTGTTGAGCCGACTGGGCTCTAGCCCGCTCAGGCAGGCCGGCCTGCTAGCGTGACGAGAAGCCGAAGTGATCGAGCCGAACAGTTTTCCATCGATCCCGATTCGTGGAAGAAGCTGGCGATCGAAAACAAAAGCTGGATTTGACGATTTCCTAGAGCCAGGGAGTTACCGAACAGGCCCTTAATATGCTATTTACTTCTATTTTCAAAAATCCCTGTGAAACCCTGATAGGCTGATTGTTTCCGTTTCAGCTGTTACTGTTCAAAACTAGTTTAAAAGCACGCCTTGAAACTAGTTTACAAACACGCATCAGGAAGCACTGCACGCCTTCTTCAAGGCGTCGAATATGCCCTGGAGCGTCGCATCATGCACCAGCGCAACCTTCTCCCTTGATTTGGGGTCGGAACCGATAGTCGATAGACACTTCTCTTTTCTTCACTCCAAGTACCTGCATGCGTTCATGTTCACACAAGGTTTTCAGGATTTCTGATAGTCGATAGACTTGTTTCAGGATTTGCATTGATTGCACTTTCGGACTCAGAACAGCATATGTCAAGCAGAGATACAGAGGCTCGGCCTATCCATGCAAACTATACATACACCTCAGTTACTCTTTCTTCTGATTCAGAAAAAGAGCAGTTCCCCGTCACGGTCTCAGGGACAAGACTGGCCGTGTCCAAGATTTCAGCCTTTTTACGGGGTTCAATCTCACCACGATTTATACCGGAGAAAGACCGCTGGTTCAGCTGATACACTCTGCTCAGCCAAGTTATATTACTCGCGGTTAACAACATACATCATCAAGGGCCGCACGCCTTCTTCAAGGCCTCAAAGACGCCTTTGAGTGTCACGTCCTGCACTAGCACAACCTTCTCCCTCGATTTCGAACCGGAGCCAATAGACACCTCTCTTTTCTTCACCCCGAGTACCTGCATGCATGCACATTTACACAAGGTTTTCAGATGGAGCAAAGAAATCAAGCATCAAATGTTTAATAGATCGACTTCATCTGTACTACTCCCTCCATTCACAAATACAAGATGTTCTAGCTTTTTGTGAATATGATGTATATAGACACATTTTAGTGTGTTTGTTCACTCATTTCAGTCCGAACGTAGTCCAAAACATCTTATATTTGTGAACGGAGGGAGTATTAGAATATCATGTTAAACCAGTGAATGTACTTCCAGCACAAGCACAGCAGTTTGTTTACTCCCTCTTGATTGATGAGCTAAACATAGGAAAATGCACCTATTGTCTCAATCAGCAACCAATAAGGCACTATCCAAAGAACAGCTGACATATTTGTCCATGGATTTGTCTCCTTGAATTGTAGTTTGACAATGAATTAATGCGGTCAATAGGATATTAAACAAGATACTAAGGCCATAGCGCAAGTAGGATTATGGACTGTAACTACCTGCTCAGTAGCAACAAACCCCCTGGGTGTCATTGGCAGTTAGGCGCAAACAGCCACTTAATTTGCGGTCTTAGATCAACCAATGTTCAAATCCTTGAAATGCACCCTTGACAGAATCATACACAATTATCAAACTCACTGAACTTCGATGCTATCTTCCTCCTATTGAACACACCAAAGGTAGCCAAGTCTGAAGCAGAATGGCCAAAGAAGCAAAGATGGCAGGTGCAGTAAGACCGAGGCTAAAATGTCCTGCTAGATTGCAGTGCTCCAGGGGGAAAATATGAAATTCGAAATTCAAGAATGAACACCACACATCTCCATGGCAAACAACTTCGCCAATCCATGTCCTGGACGGTCTGTTCAGTACTACTTGTTTCATATGCTTCATCAATAGTACTTTCTAACATGTTTAAAGTCTGAACTTCGATGGAGAAGATCTCATGCCATCAGTTTGTAACAATGAAAGTTAAAACAAATCATACTTGTATGTCCCTAGCTCGTGCTCCTAATTCCCAAACCAGAGCCGGCTGCCGACTCTCCTAAACCTTTTTCAAGCTAGTTCACAGCAATACCATGGAACTACCAATCATCATCTTGGTGGGCAGTTCATCTAGATCAAGCGGTACTGTATCAGCGGGGAGGGAATCACTAAATTACCGAGCTGATGAAGTCGACGAGGGCGGCGTTGGCCTCCCCGTCCCTCGCCGGCGCGTCGATCTGCACCCCGACGGCCTCCTCCCCGATCTCTGCAAATTAGCTCAGGACTTAGGAGGGGAGCAGCGAGGCCGAGGACTAGAGGGGGCGGAGTACGGACCGGTGATGGTGGCCATCTTGGAGCCGGGCTTGGCGTGGACGGAGATGGCGACGGTGGACGGCGGCATCAGGCGGAGGCAGCCCGGGAACTCCTCGCCGCCGGCAGCGGCGCTCGCCGCGGCCGCGGCCGCCGGCGCCGGGCCACCCTTGCCCTTGCCTCGTTTCCCTGGAGCCATCTTCACTTGGGCTGGGCCCAAGTCCATCCGCACAATATATCCCGTGGAGGCCCAGGGGACGGCCAGGCTCAGCACAGCACGATGATGACTCAGCTCCAAGCCACGCCGCTCAGAACCCTAGCCCTCTCCCGCCGGCGGGGCGCCGGCGCGGCGGCGCGGCCGATGGCGGGCTCCGTGCGGTGCTCCGCCGCGGCCAGGAGTTACAGCATTACGCTCCTCCCCGGCGACGGCATCGGCCCCGAGGTCGTCGCCGTCGCCAAGGACGTCCTCTCCGTCGCCGGCTCCAAGGAAGGCAAGCTCACCTTAGCTCCCCGTTCTTCAACGCCTCCAGCTCCGAGCACTGGCGTTGTGCCGACGATCATAGCCTGTTTGTTTTCCTTTCTTTGCAGGCGTCGAGCTCCGCTTCCAGGAGATGCTGATGGGCGGCGCGGCGCTGGACGCGGCTGGCGTGCCGCTCCCCGACGAGACGCTCGCGGCGGCGCGGGCCTCGGACGCCATCCTCCTCGGCGCGATTGGAGGGTGAGTGGAATTTTTCTGTTGACAGCAGCAACATCACTGCTGACAGCTCCGGATTGCATTTTGCTCTGGTCAGACTTTGTGATGTGCACCTGCGTTTTCTTTCAGTAATTGGGTTTGATGTTTTGATCTGCAGGTATAAGTGGGATAACAATGAGAAGCATCTCAAGCCCGAGACCGGGCTGCTCAACATCCGTGCCGGGCTTGGCGTGTTTGCCAATCTGCGGCCAGCCACCGTGTTACCGCAGGTATATCAACATGCCGTTTTAGTTGGACAACACTGCAGTTCATACTTCAGATAGCTATTTGGCTTAAGTTGCATCTGAGGCCATGTATCAAAGGCATCAGAGTGTGTCCTGCGTCCCGGCTTAATCTGTACTGGTAGTGGATTAACTTCTTTGTTTCGATTAGTACTAACATCATTGTCCTGTTTTTCTAGTGCTACTACTCAAAACTCTGCCTTTCGTACTTTAGGTAGCTAGTTAACTATATGATCTACTCCCTCCGTCCCAAAATATAAGAACGTTTTTTACACTACACTAGTGTAAAAAACGTTCTTATATTATGGGACAGAGGGAGTAGATCGCTTAAGTTGCATCCAAGGCAATGTATCGAAAGTTGAGTGTCTCCTGTGTCCTGACATGATCCGTACTAGCAATTCATGGTTTAATAAGCAATAAAGTACTACCAAATGAAGTCATAGCTGCAAATTTTGGGCCGAATGGACTTGTTTGCTTCACTTATTTCTGGCTATATACTTGCACTAATATGCTGATTTGCTCATATGTTCCCTATGTAATTACTTCTCTCTTTGCCCTCACACTTTTGTAGTTAGTAGATGCATCTACTTTGAAGAAAGAGGTAGCTGAAGGAGTTGACATCATGGTTGTTAGAGAGCTTACTGGAGGTAATGTTGACTAAACTACAATAAAACATGGCTGGTTATTCCTCTTTCGTTGCTGATTTATATGTTTCCACGTGCATTCTGATGAAACTTGAAACTTCTACTGGTATTTTATTTTCTGCGTGGCAGGGATCTACTTCGGCAAGCCTAGGGGTTTTGGAACCAATGACAAGGGAGAGGAAACTGGCTTCAACACTGAAATATATTCAGTTGCTGAGGTGACTCCACTGTTCCCCTTTCATTTCAACTATCTCCCTGATAAACTATTCCACCCCCGAAGGAATAAACATGACTAAATCTATTGATCATTTTGTATCTGTATTTCTTTCCTCTATGATGTCAGGATGTATTTTCTGTAAGAACACATGTAATTAGATTAAAAAAAACTCTTTGTTTGATACCAACAGAAGGCATAAACATGACTAAGTCTGTTGATCATTTTGTTTCTCTGTTTCTTTCCTCTATGATGTCAGGATGTATTTTCTGTAAGAATACGTGTAATTAGATTAAAAAACTCTTTGCTACCATTTTTATTGAATACAATGCATTAACTATTTGTCCGAACAACTCTATCCCCAGATCGATCGTATTGCCCGTGTTGCATTTGAGGTTGCTCGCAAGAGAGGAGGGAAACTATGCTCGGTGGACAAGGCGAATGTGCTTGAGGTACTTAATTATAGGAATCCCAAATATTTTTGAGTTGTTTGACTTGTATGGAAATTAGAACCGTGCCATGGAGCATATTTGAGACAATATTATATTCAATGTTTTATAACTGTTTCTTAAATATTTAGTTGGATGCGACGATTATGACCTATCATTTTGCTGAGCCTAATACATCATTTTCCCCTAATGCTATTGTAGGCATCTATGCTTTGGAGGAAACGGGTAACTGCAATAGCTTCCGAATTCCCCGACGTTGAGCTCTCACACATGTACGTTGATAACGCTGCAATGCAGCTTGTTAGGAATCCTAAACAGGTTTGTTTCTTTGTATGCAACTTATCTCACCCTGAGCTAAGCAATATGGAGATGTGCTGACCGCCTGTATTCCCTTCCCTTCATTATCACAGTTTGACACGATTGTGACAAACAATATCTTTGGTGACATATTATCGGACGAAGCATCAATGATCACAGGAAGCATTGGAATGCTGCCATCTGCCAGTGTTGGTGAATCGGTAATATAAGTTGTTTTCAGAGTTCAGACGCACTTCTTTTATGCCGAAATTGCTGGAAGTAAAGCGCTTATCAAGGATCTTCTTTTTCTGTATAGGGACCGGGTCTTTTTGAACCCATTCATGGCTCTGCTCCTGACATTGCTGGCCAGGTTGACATAGCTCCTAAATTCAGAACAATCCTTGGATAATACTGCGCTGCCTTTTGTTGTCTAACTCTGTTCAAAATTCTGCTCCCTTCTACAATCTGCTGAGTGCAGGACAAGGCAAACCCGTTAGCTACAATTCTTAGTGCGGCGATGCTATTGAAATATGGCCTTGGTGTAGAAAGTGCTGCAAAGAGAATCGAAGCCGCGGTTACAGAGACACTGGACAATGGGTTCCGAACTGGGGACATACATTCTCCTGGGACGGTAAGATTAGTCCATGCAAACATGTTCAATAATTGCTGCCCTGAATATTTGCTACATTTATGTTGGAAGAGAAATCCAATGCCTATGTTTCTGCCAAATAAAGAATTAAATATTCGTCTGCTTCGTACAGTTGTACTTACATTGTTCTTTACTTGCACATCAATCACGAGTACTTAGATTGTTTGACAAATAGAAGGATTTAGTCCTCTGTTTCTTAGCCTGCCAAACTTCTAACCTGTGACCACTGGTTGTAGAATATACTCATTAGCAAGCGCTACTTTTTGCTCTCGTTTCCTCTTTTTTTCCGAACTTACGTAGTTTTGTTCTTGCGCTGCAGACATTGGTTGGATGCAAGCGAATGGGAGAGGAAGTGCTGAAGGCTCTGGAGTCGCAGAAGTAAACAGCAAACCGATAGCCATCAGTACGGAGGTTTGAAGAAGCCTGCATCATGGGATGGTCGAAAGTGCACCGGGATCTGATCTGACCTTACCCCGCCAAAGATCGTCGATCTTGCCCCTGGATTGTGTGATTCTGTTTTTATGTTTGCCTGCTTCCGCCCTTGTGGTTGGGTGCAGGAATTTAGCGGATCGTCTTTTCCCTTTCTCGTTGGAAAGATTTTTGTGCGCCTTTATTGAATGAATTGTGTCGGTGATGGATAGAAAATTTGGGATGGTTCCCTTTGCGCCTCGCTGGAATGAAAAGGAAATTGGATTTTGTGGCACTGTCATTTGTGATAAGTCGGTAAATTCCTGTCATTGGTCAGCGCTCTCTTCTCATGTATCTTATTAAAACGAGTGGTTAACAAAACTAATCATCAACCAGATTTTGGGGTTGTGCTAATCTAAGCAGCAGATTCCAATGTGACCTTGTGAACCTAAAAATCGCCAGCAATATGACTTTCCCAAAGATTTAGTATAGCTATATCATCAAAAGTAAATAGAGTGGAAGAAGATTGATTTATGGGAATATATTTATTTTTTTGGGAATATTTAAAGATCAAATGTTTACAATAAAAATCCGACCTAGGCCCTTTTCGGAGACTCGCCACTCCGCTCCCGGAGCTGGAGTTAAAAAGCAGGAAGCTGGGAAACAGATGCTCCACAGCTCCTTGTATTTATACTGGTCTAAAGGATTTAAGTTTTTGTACGCCTACATTGGTCAATCTCTCACCTCATGGTCACCAAATTCAAAATGGCTTTCTGAAATTGAATCTCCATCCATTTCATTCCCTATTTGAGAAAGATTCGTTTTCGAAAGATTCTCAGACAAAACGAAAGAGTCTTGTGAATTCCATTTTTGGTATTTAAAGACTTAAAATAAAAGAAGAAGAAAAAAAAGGATTTCCGACCTACCGGATTCGAACCAGTGACCTAAGGATTTAATCTGCATCCACTACAGTCCTCCGCTCTACCAACTGAGCTAAGGTCGGCTTGTGCTATTTGTTCTCATCGTGCCTCTTTTGACAGGAAACCCGTAGCCCAGCAGTGCTATAGCACCCAACCCTCCCCAACCAAAGTCGAGTGAATTGCGGACCGCCTCACAATTAGCATACCACCAAATTTCTCTTGTGGGATTCAATGCTGCCAATTTCATATTCCTCTGAAAACTGCGCAGCAGAGTTTTTTGAGATGGAACACAACGACAGGTACATTCAGGGAGTGATGCTCTAACCCTAAACCCTAAACCCTAAACCCTAAACTCTAAAATCTATGCCAGATACACAACTCAAGTCTTTCTGTCGGTACACCCAACATCCTCCTTCAACTGAATTCAGCGATGCACGTTCGTATCAGAAAGAAGGCTCACAACTACAGTACGTAAGTATAGCATTCACCGTGCTTGCTTGTCTCAGAACAGTGCTTCAACCAGACTAACTGGCCGATGAACAATCCAAAACCAGGCCCCATCTGCAGTACAGTAGCTTTCTTCCTCCGGGCCCGGGTCCGGGTCCGGGTCCGGGAGCACAGCACGCCTTTAACCAGATGTGTAACATGGAGACCGAATATATCGACGGTT